GGTATGGTATGGGATGGGATGGGATTGCAAAACCATGGTATGGTATGTTATGGGAGTGCAATACTATGGTATGGTATGGTATGAGAGTGCAACATGGGATTACAACACCATGGTATAATATTTTGATAATGGAGACTCTGACAAGACTTTGGATTGGACAGATTCACCTAGCTTCAATAAATTGGACCAACTATTATGACAAAGAAGACTTTGGCCAAACACTCAGGACAACAATACTTGATTCCAACATATGTAGTGTTTAAGAAAATTGAGATTATATGATGGTGTTGTTGGCCATACTATATGTGTATGCTATGTAAGTAGGCAGGACTGTCTGATTGGCCCTACTGGGCAAAATATATTTAACCTATTATTGAAAGCATTCATATTAATGGCTTTTCAGGAATGAAAAAACCCTCAATTGAACTGATTTTTAAAGGTTGGAGTTCACTATCTGGCCTCCACTTGGAATTGGAAATCTTAGCAAAAACCTGAAAGCCTTTTCACTTTTCTTTTCTTCTCTATGACCACTTCATCACAATAGATGTGGTTTTGTTTGATTTGGATGAATATTGTTTTAATAGAAAGGATTGGGAAAGATATGTATCATTAAATGGCTTTGGATGCATGGGAAATCTGGGATAAAGCCTATTTAAACTCATTTTCAATAGATGGTTTGGACTATCTGGCCTCAATTTGTAGCCTAATATCTCAGGAAAAACCTGGAGAACCACCCCACAAAAAATGGCACCCAATGGACGAGTATTGCAGCCTGCAGAAATAATTTTTATATTTTGGAAAAGGACCCCAGACACCCTATGTCAGCTTTGGTATGATGGTATGAAGACATCATACCATCTGGTATGGTATGGTGACATGGTATTGGTATGGTATGGTAACATGGTATTGGTATGAGTGGGGTATGGTATGGGTTTTCCATTCCATGGTACCATGGTATTGGTATGGAGCTCATATACCACCCCGGAATGGGTACCCTCAAGGTACCCTAAATCAAGGAATTGATGTACCTCATAGGTACCCAAAAATGGGTGACTGAAGTGAACACTCAGTGATTTTATTTACTTTTGGAGCTGACCAAACAACTGCCCGTAGTCATTTGGCAGGCGTCGCTTTCCCGCCGTTCCCGCTTGTTGCATATACTCGTCAAGGGGGTGGCGGAATGTGGAAAGAGACCAACACTCGTTTTTTTTTTGAGAGTCCTGCTTGACACCCCCCACCCCTACCTTCATAATAGAGTATGTTTTTCCCATGCTTATGTTTTTCAGAATTTCTTTTCTACATAAATAATCTCCTACTGGGTGACTTCCCATAACAGAAATCTATATAAACAAATAAATGGGTACCCTGACTTGTGATAGACTCGAGCCAAGTCCCTTTTTGTAAATTGAAGACAGTCGTTCAATAGATTACCGTAGGGACTGGAAGATTTGATGCGTGATCTAGTACAGTGCAGAAAATTCCCACGATTTACGGGGACTTAGCCAAATTTCGCTGAGCTTTGAGTGAGCCTGCGACGCGATGTCTAGCACAGAGATCATTTTGGACCCTGAACACCTTGCCTCAACGTCTCGAAGACTTTGCGAGACCTTTGCTATTCCATTCCTCCACCCATTCCAGATCCAAACAGGCCAAAATATCTTACAGAAACACAGCACTATCCTCGACGTACCAACCGGGTCCGGCAAGACCCTAGCGTTTTTCTATGCGCTTTTCTACCACTGGTGGCCTGGGAATACCGAACGCGACTCCTGCCAGAAGAAGATCATAGTGATCATCAGTCCACTTGTTGCGTTGATGCAAGCACAGGTGAGTAACAGTGAGTTACTCCATGATCCCTGCGTGTGAGGCTGACTCCAGATCTATTCACAAGGTCGCACACTGATTGGTGATGATGCTGGGGGAGCGGATTGTCCGCGACGTCTGGGTGTGGATGGCAATGCTTGGGTGCTTGGACCTGCAGTCTCTGTGTCAGAATCCGAGTTGGCAAGTGGGTCGTCTTGAGAGGCCGGTCGCTTCTCAGGCATGTTAACTTAAGATGTAGCAGGTTTGAGCATGAAAAATGTTGTATTGGAGGACGTCAGCAAAGCGTTCGAAAGTGTAAGTGGTGAGCATGAATTCAAAAATCTGTCTAAGTCCCATTAAATCATGGGAACTTTCTGCACTGTACTCAATTACAGTTCAAATCTACCAGTCCCGAGACAAAACTGACTCGGGACTGGTCCGAGTCTAGACTTGTGATTTAATCAAGCAAATAAACTGTAACGCCAACTGATTAGATTTATTCACCTGACATGAAGTAAACTTACTTCCCTCTCATCTGAGCTGTTTTGAGGACACACAGGTCCATGGATGGGTGTATTATAGTTGATGCTCAATCATATCAGCCAGAAAGTAGGACACACAATGAATGAAGCCAAGAAAATGTCAACTTGAGCTGAACATGCTGTGGTTCTGTGAGTTATGTGCTGAGAAGATTGTTTGTGGAAGGAAAAACAGCTTTGGAGAGGAAATTTTGGAACCAGAGGATGTTGGCACTACTAATAAACTCTGTAATGCCTTCAAATTATAACGAGAGAGCAGACTGCCCTCAGCCATAGGAGAGTAGAGAGGGATGAGGTAGAGCTGACTAGGTGGGAAGAAAACGTACCCAGGAAGGAAAGGTGTCATGATGGCAGGGTTGATTCCAGTGTTTGAAATCTATTAAAGGGGTCTGTACCCTCTGAATAGATTAAGGTTTATAACTGGGTGCCAACCAGGGCCTCCATCAAAGTGGAACCCTTACAAGACTCAGCATCCTGGCAAAAGACTCTAGATCTTGTCAATTTATTTAAATCTAGTGAATTTGTGTTATGGGAAATCACCCACTACTGATGGCACTTTGTGGAATAGATTTGCAGCCAGGGCATGGCCAGTTACAAGGCATGAATTGATAATACATACATACATGCAAGCGGTGTGAAACTATCCATCAGAAATTCAGAAACACACAAAAACATTTGATGAATCTCACACACCCAACCTTGTTCATTGCTTTGTAACCTTGCACTTTGCACATCACCATACATAGTTCCCTCTTCATTTTCCTCTGCTGTGAACTCAGTGCATATCACATTCACATTCAGGATCACGTTCTTTGGTTTCCGAGTCCATCAGCTGCACCTCAAGTGCTGGGCCAATTGTCGTAGGTGAAGAGGACACAGGAGCACTGCAGAACTCAGGCAAGTCAGGATTGAAGGTTTCTCATGGGACAAATGTCCGAGTCACTGGGTCTCAAGGGTGCATAACATGCTGATTCTCAAGTCCCTCTGTCTTGAATTCATCATCAAGCTCAATAGCCATCTTGTTTCCTTCCCCTTTGGAGTCATACTCATTGCTGGAGGATCCATCATCACTTCAGTGCCTCTCCCTCTCTGTTGCACCATCTTCTTCATTGAGTGGGTTGTCACCCTTGTCTGCTTCCTCCCCATCAGGACCATCGTACTGAGGGAGATCTGCTCTACCCAATCAATAGTGCTTGGAAGTCCAGTCCCAAGACTGGAAAAAGACCGAGACTGGACTAGACCAAGACTGCTGAAGACCGGAAATTCCCAGGACCGTCAAAGACCGCAACCGCAGTCCGGTCTTCGGTCTCTAACAATTTCGGAAATTTAAAGACCAACAAAAGACTGGTCTAACCGGTCTTAACCGGTCTTTACTGGAACTCGTAACCAAACAAAACTCGTAAACGAACAGAACTCGCAAACACAAATGCTCTCTTCCCACCCTTTCCCACCACCACCCTTCCTGACCATCGCCTCGCATCGTGAGTGCCCGCCATGGGCTAAACGACACTCACGCCCACACATCGACTGCCACCTCATGCGCTGGAGGCTCAGCTACAACACCCACATGGCCATGACACACCACAGCCTCCACGACGACCCCCCCTACTGCTGCACCTGAACGAGCACCCGCGAGGTCTAACTGCCACGTCGCTGACAGCGATGTGGCAACTAGTGTTTGTTATTCTGGGTTATTCTGTGGTAAGCACCCCACCATCCCTTTATCATCTCTCACATCAATCCCAGTGCCACATCGCCAGACAATGAATGTGACTGCCCACCACCCACCTCGGTGATCGACGACTGCCCACATCCCACCACCCACCACCAAGATCTGGCGATGACCGGACAGACCCCTCGCCTACTACAATCGACGACTCCCTCCAAGGTGCCACGTCGCTGTCAGCGATGTGGCGACCAAATGATGAACGACGATAGCGTCGTTCATCGTTTCATTACATGGTAAGCACCTCCACCTTCCTCCTAACCCAGATCGTTAACGATGACCCCACCCCACCACAACCACTGCACGGCACAACCAGGCAGCAGGTACATGACACACCGGCAACGATGACTACGAACATGGTCCCACCTGCATCTGAACCACCTCACTTGACTGAGGACAATGCAAAGAATAGGAGACGGGCGACGATGGACAACAACAAGGACACATGAGTGCTGCCCCACCCCCCTGTCCCCCCTCGTTCACTCTCATGTATGTAGTACTAGTATATGTAGTAAATTAGATACATTATGTTCCCTATGTTAGTCACTCCGAGACTGGTCCAAGACTGGTTGTCAACCAGTTGAGACTGAAACTGGTTAAGACCAGTCTCTCAACTGTAAAAAACCGATGAAAACTGCACTGAACCGGTTGACGTCGGTTCAGTCCAGTTTTTCGAACTTCTTCAACCTGCAAGGACCGGTCTCAGTCCCAGTCTTGTCAAAATTTGACAAAAGACCAGACTGGACCAGACTTCCAAGCACTACCAATCAATGGCCTTGGTGTTGCATCTCTGCAACCCTTGGTTCAGGATCCACGTCCCACTACCCCCTTGATACTCGTATAGCTATACATTCCAAGGAAGGTTGTTTGTACATACCCTGAGGCTCCACAACTAAACAAAATTGCAAATCAGAGTGTTTTGATTCCTAGTGATGGGCAGGGGTAACCCTGGGGTGTCTTCCAGCTAACAAGGTATCAATAGACCACTGACCAGATTGTAAAATGCTCTGCCCATGTCGGAAAAACCCAGGAAGCCTTATAAGGCAGGTAAGGCAGGTAATCACAGGAACGAATTGTAATCCAATTATAATCAAGGAGAAATGTACTATAATACATAGGGACAAATTATAAGGTACCAGATAATTGTAAATGAATCGAAAATTTGTAGTGAGCTCCTAGCTCAATTGTAATGTGTGCGTTTCTTACTAGTTAGTTGTCTTATTATTACGGAACAGTTGTTATTAGCGGGGATTGAACTCTGAGCCTATTGATTACTTACCTTGTTTTGACTTGCTTATTGACTTGTCTATACTTTCCGCTGGGCTATGGGGGCATATTTAGGTACAACCTCTAGTTCTTCATAACGAGCGCCGTGGCTGACCCTTCGACAATACAGAGTTCATACAGAGCACTGTTCTCCCTTCTCGTAAACTTAGCTATAGTTTCCCCACCCAACATCATATGCACATTCTCTTGCTTTATGGGGTTCAAGCACTTGTAAAGCTGATTGAAGAAGGTCAGTACATGCTCGTATTTTTCGAGTTCAAAGATATATTCTTATGCTTGTTGTTTTTAGAGAAATTGTGCCCTCTTTTCCCGATGTTTTGGGCTCTTGAGAGCAGAGACCCAGATAATGGAAGCTTTCCGTGTCTAGAAGGCGGTGAGATATCCATGTATAGCATGTGATCGGTATTGCGTAGAATGAACAAAGTAACATAAGTACTCGCCTTACTCCTCACAATCCTATCCCAGCTCGTAAATGTGAAACACCCACCATCTATAGTGTATACGTCTGTTTCTCACAATTCCGTACCCTTCTGACAGCATTCACGCATTAGATTTGAACATCAAGTCTTCATGTAGTATCAAGTCTTCACGTACTACGTGAAGACTCGATGTAAGGTGAGTAATCAAAATGTACATGACCATTACATTCTATCCCAGTTCATAAAAATGAAACACCTGCTATCCATAGCAATTCCGTCCTTTCTAGTGGTGTTCACACATTAAATTTGAATGTTGCGTCTTCACATATGTTTTGTTGTTGCCTTGTTTGTCTTCATGCATGTCGTTTCGATTTGTTGTATGTAGCAGAACGAAATCTAATACTTTTTGTTAATAAAAAAATTTGTGTAACAGAAAATACGGAATTCAGTGTCGCATGAAACAAAGTTCTGTTGAATATAAGATGGGGTACATGAAGTGTACTTACTTGCTGGCCCTTCGCGGTTTTCCTTTGTTGTTGTATACATACATTGGACATGTGTATACCTCGTCGTTCCAGCTGTCGCAGACGTCAACGTGTTCTGTAGATGTCCCTCATGCCATTGACCCAACATATTGTCGTCGGGTATCTTGGTTAGGCTGCAAAAGTATTTCATTAGTGCTTTCATTTGTTGTCAACATCTTGACTTACAGTCTTCAGGTAGGTGTTCTATCTCGTCTTTGGAAGCGTTGTGAAACAGAGAAGTTGAATCTACAAAAATATGTTAGCGTGACAATAATCTACAGAGTCAAACTGACATACTTATCGTTTGGCATCCCCCGGACTCCATTTATCCCTCCAAAACTTCAAAACATCGCTGTTGCTCATTTCCAGCGTCGAGACGATGTATCTTCATCCGCAGAACCGGCATAAGTAATGCAGAATGCTCCATGAAAAGTGCTGAGTGCTTTGAAATGACCACGCTGGTTAGTGTCGTGCATGACATCAAATGCGAGGTAGGTACTCACCTTTCATCGCATTTCCACAGCTCACGACCTCTCCCAGCTTCGTCATGCGAAATGTAGCCTTTCTGTGGAGTATTTATCCGTTCCCCGCAACTCCCGCGCCCTCCTGGCAGCGTGTACGTGTTAGGTTTAAATGTGAAGTCTTTGTGTATGTGTAATTGTCTTCTCGAGTGTCATTTCAGTTCGTCGTAGGTAGTAAAAGGAAATATAGTAGTTTTGTTAGCTAAAAACTTGTGTAGAAGAGAATATGATACTCACGTTGCGTGAAACTGCCAACACGTCAACAATGCGCTTGAAAACAATCACAGGCGTTAGTATTGTGCAGGATGAGCGAAGCAGTGTAACTACTCACTTTGCGTCGCCTTTCCCACTCCTTAGGAGCCTGTCCCAGCTTGTAAACGCGAAGCGCCACCTTTCCATAGCATGTCCATCTGTTCCCAACACTCCTGTGCCTATCCGACAGTGTTTACGCGCTTTC